AGAGCTGGGCCAGGGCTCCAGGACACCCAGTCCTCCCTCTCCAAAGCCTGGCAGTGATGGAGCCCACCTGGGACACTGCTCCAGCACCCCTATGGGCCACATTCCTGCCCTCACTGCTGTCCTTGCTCTCTAACAGGTTGGTGCTGGCCCTGGTGAGGGATTTAATGTCAACGTAGCCTGGACTGGAGGGCTCGACCCCCCCATGGGTGACCCTGAGTATCTGGCTGCTTTCAGGTACTGCTCCTCAGGTTTCTGCTCGTCTCCTCTGTCCCTCTGTGCCAGGCTGAGCCACCACTCAACACCTGTATTTGTGTTTCATCCACACAGGACCGTGGTGATGCCAATTGCACATGAATTCTCCCCTGATGTGGTGCTGGTGTCAGCCGGCTTCGATGCAGCTGATGGCCACCCACCACCCCTGGGTGGCTACAAAGTCTCTGCTAAATGTAAGGAGGTGGCTCAGGGTGGGTTGTTCCCACTGCCCACCCAGGTTGGGACCATGATGTAGGGTTGGCAGCTCTCTAGGGAGCCAGGGAAGATCTTTGGGGTTGTACCAGCCCATCAAGTGCCAGGCTTCCAGCATTTTGGGCAGGGAGGTTGACAACCACCCCTTGGGCTTCTCCTTCAGGCTTTGGCTACATGACGAAGCAGCTGATGAGCCTGGCTGGTGGAGCCATCGTCCTGGCACTGGAAGGTGGCCATGACCTTACAGCCATCTGTGATGCATCCGAGGCCTGTGTCTCAGCCCTGCTGGGCAACGAGGTGAGAGCTGGGGCTCAGTGGGTGGTGGCTGTGGGGCTGTGCTGATGCTGTGAGCCGAGCCCTGCGCACAGCTCCCTCCTGTTGACCCCCCTGTGTCTTCCTTTGGCAGCTGGACCCTCTCCCAGAAGAAAGCATGAGGCAGAAGCCAAACCCCAACGCTGTGCGCTCCTTGGAAACGGTGATCCGGGTCCAGAGTGAGTGTCCCAGGGCTGGGGACTCTTAATTCATAGAATCATAGACTGGTTTGGGTTGGAAGGGACCTTAAAGCTCATCCAGTCCCAACCCCCCTGCCATCAGCAGGGACACCTTCCACTAGACCAGGTTGCTCAAAGCCTCATCCAACCTGGCCGAGAACACTTCCAGGGAGGGGGCATCTACAACTTCCTTGGGCAACCTGTTCCAGTGTCTGACCACCCTCACAGTGAAGAACTTCTTCCTAATATCTCATCTAAACCTCCCCTCTTTCAGCTTAAACCCATTTCCCCTTGTTTTGTCATTAGTTGCCCTTATGTGGAAGGGCTGAGTGTTAGCGTGTCCTCCCCTCTCTAGTAAACCTCATGACTTCCAAGGGGACTTCTGGCATAGAAGACCCCAGTGAAGCCCCCCATCATCATCCCCTTCATGGGAGGGTGATATCCCATGTGTGCATTCCCTGTAAGGGAAGCTTGGAGACCTGGGGCATCACCCCTGTGCTGGAACCTCCTGATTTTTACTTCTCCTGCAGGTAAATACTGGGTGGCCGTGCAACGCTTTGCCTCCAAGCTGGGCTGCTCCTTCCTGGAGGCGCAGCACCACGAGGCAGAAGAGGTGGAGACAGTCACAGCCTTGGCCTCCCTCTCGGTGGCTGTGATGGTGGAGAAGAGGTGATGCTTTTAATTGGTGCTGGGAGATGTGGGTACCCCCTCAGTCCCTGTGGGTCTGGGTCCAGCCTTGCTGTCACAGGGGTGGCAGCAGAGAAAGGCCGTGTCCCACAGCCAGATGAGCTGCTGGGAGGTCAGGACAGTGCTGGCTTTAAGCAGGTTTTGGGCTGTGGGAGGTGGAAATGACAACTGTCCTCCCCACCCAGAGCTCTGATCCTGCAGCTCCCACGGCCTGGCCTCAGCGTTCAGCATCGGTGGGTGGTGGGGTGAGGTCCTACATCCACATGGTCAGGACCTGGATCAGCTTCTGGGGGGATTTAGTGCTGGGCTTTTCCCAAACAAGATGAAAACGAGACCAAATCCTCTTTCCTTCCTTGGAGGCTGGAGGTGTAGGGGTGTGTCACCTCCTTTCAGCAAGGTCCCCCCTCACCCACCACCTTTTCTTGTCCTCACCGGGACTCAGTGAGAGTCTGTGTGGGTCTCAGTGGAGTGAGAAGCACTGGGAGGCTTGTGGAAGGCCCCTTGATGCTGAGAGGGGTGTGTTGTGTCACACAGGTCTCCTCCCATGTGTCTTGTTTCTCCATTTCAGGCCACAAGACGAGCCGATGGAGGAAGAGGAGCCCATGAACCAGTGAAGAGCGATGATGTTCTCTGCTCCCCTGCTTCCAGGACGTGGCTGGGCTCTCCTGAGCCTAGCACTTGCTCTTCACTCCTGGCTTCCCGTTTGCCACATCATCCTCACTCCCTGAGTCATGGTCCTGAAATGGCCTGGACCTTTGGCTGCCACCTCTGCAGAAGGTCTCCCAGAAAGGATGTTTCTGCAGCCAACCTGGAAGGCTCGGGACCGATGGAAAACCACAAACTCCCTCTGCACGGCGTGGCTCTGCAAACCCAGACCCGTGCCTGCAATCAGTCCCCAACCTTCGGGACCTGAGATCCCTCTGGGGACACACGTGAGAGGTTTCCACCCACAGCCAGACACAGACCTGCCCTTCTCCTGGGATCTTCCTCACCCTTGGGGAAGGGGATGGGTGTTGGGATGGATGTCGTGGCCGTGCTGCGAGTGGTTAGAGCCGCCTTTGGGACTGCACCCAGAGCTCCTCTGCAGCTGGGCAGTGATGTCTTGGAGAAGCAGCCCTGTGTTTTGCTCAGGAGGGACAAGCTCTCTGTGTCTTCTCCTGAAGGCTTCCTGGCTGCCCTTCCTCTGGTGGGGCACAAGGCAGGACTGAGTGTGACAGTGACATGGGGTATCGACCTCATTCTGCACAAGAAGGGTTTGGAGAACTGTGGATGATGTGCCCAAGCCCTGCAGTTGGGGAAGAGCAAAGGCTGGAGTGTCCACAGTGCCCGGGATCTCACCCGTGGGACATCCTGACCACTAACCAGAGCGTGACCCCCCCGGTGCTGGGGCTCTCACTTGCACTATGTACAATGGACGTGTGCTGATGTGAACCTTACGGACTCTTCTTCCCATGGGAATGTCGGGAACAAACACCTCTTCGTGTGGACGTTACCAAGGTGCCTTGAGCCCTTTTCAACCACCCACTGACCTGAGGATCTGGATCCATGTAGCCCCCTGTGATCCCTAAAGCAGGGGTAGCCCAGCTGTCTTCCAGTCACCCCCCTGACCCACCCTGCAGCTGCACTCCCACCACCTTCATGGGTTCTTCTTCTCCAGCTGGGATCAAATCAAGTCCTGTCACCCTCTGCTTGGTGCTCAGCTCCCCCAGGGATGCCCAAAGCCCCAGTAATTCAGTGCCTGTCTCTGGCCAGGCTCTTTTGGGGTGACAGAGGCAGGATCAGGCCCCCCAAAATGAGATGTCCATCATGATTTGTCTTCTTGCATCAGGACATTGTGTGGCTCATCACCCTGAGAGCCTTTCCCGTGTCTTCCCTGTGTCCCATGGGTTGTCTTGCAAGGACAGGTCCCTGCTTGGGTGTCACGGTGCTGGGCTGCAGCGGGGTTTGGGGACAGCTGGGCTGGGCTGGAGGGGATGGATGAGACACAGACTCGGGAGGTGGCCGGGTCTGGCTGCGGGGAGGAGATTTTGTAAAAAAAAAAAAGTAAAAAAAAAAGTAAAAAAAAAAAGTAACGAGGAGAAAAAGGAAAAAAAAACCCAAGGACCTTGGAAAAATAAACCATTTCTGTGTCTCAGGCTGAGGCTGCCCAGAGCTGGGGTCCAGGGAGGGGTGAGTCCCTGATGGCTGCATGACACGTGGAGAAGTCATCATGACACTGCCCATCTGTCCTGACAGCTCCCTCCTTGCTGCTGTCACCCTGCAGGGTGCTCCTGGGGTGGGGACCCTGCACAGCAGCCTCTTGCTGGATGGGAGAGAGGAGGGTGTCCCTCTCTCTGGACAGTAAAGGGTTAAAAAGCACTCAAAACCTCACTGTCTTCTCCAGAGCCTGGTGTTTGTAGATGCTGTCCCTCCATCCTGGGCTGTGGGGTGGTGGGAAGGACCTGCTGCTTCTCCAGCCCTGGAGCACTTGGGTGTTTCTGGTGTCCCCAAGCCGAGGTTGGTGCTCCCACCCCTTCCCTACCCCTGTGCCAGCTCCTGTCCCATGGCTCCTCCTGTGCCACCACCTCTCCCACCATCAGCTTTGGTTTCCCTTCCCTGCTCAGTCCCAACCTCATCCCCATTTCTCCCAGTGGGTCCCAGCTGGACTCTTCACCTCCCAGGAAACCCAAAACTCATCACGGAAGGAGAGTTTGTGTCTGAGTTTCCATCAGGAGAAAGCTGGGGGTGCAGCTGCCTTAAAGCAGAGGAAACACCCCAGAGAACTGGTCTCTTGTCTCCCTTCTAAACTCCTTCAACATTCCACATTTTCAAGTTTCTTCTGGATCTATCAGGACAAGATACCAAAAGAAAAGAAGCTGTAATTAATTAATTAAGCTCATGAATTCAAGGGCTGGCCCTTCCCAGCCTCCTGGGAGCATCCAGTGAGACCTTCATGAGTGTCACCCAGCCTGGGCTGGGGGTGGGTGGCCCAGAAATCCTTCATCCTCTGCACCCCATGTGGTAGGTCACCCCAAACTGGAGCTGAAGCCCTGAGCAGCCGCTGTGTGATGTGTCACCCTGGCAGTGGCCGAGGTGCCCAACGGCTCACGGGAAACACCGGCCCCATCTGGCAACCGGTGGCTTGTGGTTTTGACACTGAAGATGGGGCCACATGGCACGGGGGTGAGGTGTGGGTGTTCATCTGAGCACTTCTTTTCCTAGTAGAGTCATTTGCTTGCTTGGGAGGGTCCCCGCTCCCTGTGAGGTGGCACCTCCTTGTCCCCAGGTCACCCCTAAACACCTATTTCAATGGTGTCCGCTCAGCGTAGAGGCTGGAGGAGGTGATGGGGTCCTTTGGGTGAAGGTCCTGCCACAGTGGCCTCCCAGTACCTGAAGGGGCTCCAGGAAGGCTGGGGAGGGACTTTGGCCAAGGGCAGGGAGTGACAGAACAAGGGGTGATGGCTTGAAAGTGGCAGAGGGGAGATGGAGAATAGAATTTTAATTTATTTATTATTTGAAGCACATTCAGATCTTTGGAAAGGCTGCGGGCAGCTCCCCGGAGCAGGAATCCACTCCCAGCAGATAGAGAGAAAAATTGAGGATTATTTAGAAAAAAAAAGGTAGTTTGGGCCTTGCTGGTGCCCCTGTTTGGATTCTCTGATGTGTACTAAAGTGTCATCACTCATTCTCACTCGTAGCTCTTCTCTCCCACGTGGATTATTTTGGGTTGTGCTTTTGTTGCAGCCTCATTTACAGGGATTTATTATTTCCCCCCCCGCACTTTCTCTGCTATAAGGAGTGAAAATACCCAGTTCTTTTTTTTTCTCAATTTAAATTAAACTGGTTGAGCACCAGTGAGCTGATGGAGAGCGCGGGGGTGGGCGTGCGGCCGTGCTGCCTCCTCAGCACCATTTCCTTAGGAAACAAAAGGATTGAAGCTGGGAAAATTCCCTCTGGACTTTATTGGGATC